TCAGACGACTCTTCTCTGACTTCCTGTCTGCTCTCCGTAGATCAGATGAGTCCGTGTCACTTTCACCACGCTGAGGTCATGCAACAACTTTCATGATGAGTGGGTTGTCCCCTTTACCTCCTGCTCTTTTTTCAGCTGCTGATGCCCAGTGTGTGTGTGTGTGTGCATGTGTGTATGCAATTCTGGAAGGTAAGCCCCTGTGAGGCTCAAGGTGAAATTGACTCCGACCCCTGAGCGGCTGTTTTAAAGGTGGCTAAGGTTCAAGCCAAATATTCCAGAAGGATAAGTGATGGCTTATGAAGCGCAGGAGCTCATTCTGGGCCTCCGTCTCTTTGTTTCATCCACTTTGACCAATAATTGCTCGCCTTAGAAGATAACCAGCCTCAGTGATTGGCTTGGGGTCAGGTGTTTGTTTTGAAATTAGTCTAAATCCATTTTAATTGGTAAGGAAAAGAAACAAGGTAAAGTTTAAAACTGTTAAAAAATACTGGCCTCTCGTATTACATCACAGTATCATGATGTTTATGAAGAAAATATGGAGAGTAATTATTTAATTCTCTTACCATTCACATAATGTGAATATAGTAATTTATGTATTAAAATAATTTATGAATTAGGTAAAGACTGAAGACTGGAAGTTTTTTTATCATAAATAACTCACACCACTTATTCAATGTAAAATACTTCAACTATATCTTACAAACTTAACAATCCAAATAAAAAGATAGCCTTATACATCATACAAATCATCTCAAATAACTATATAACTAATAACTAATAATAATAACTTGTGAATCATTACCACACAGATGAAGCATCTTCAAGCGCAGTCAGAATTTAACATATTGTATTAACATCATATGAGACCATGGAGACCTAGTCAAACACATTCTCACATTGGTATTTTTACTTATCAAATTTTGAATCGTAAGCAATTATTTACCAATAAACCAAAAAGTAATCCAGTGATAACTGTAGTTTCCTTTTTTAACATACATTTATTTGATGAAGAAACACTTTATTTTTATGTAATTAAACATATTTTAGGTTACTCTTAGATCTCATAGAATTTTTTATATCGAGGACATTTCACTAGAAGTACTTTTGTGTGTGGGAGTGAGTGTGTTAATACATGCAGGACATTAACACGGACTTTATTGTACTAGACGCCCGTTGAACCCTACTAATGTTGTACTTCATCTGAACTCTAGGTGGCAGTGTTGATAAATGACATCTTAGATTAGAAAGGAATTTCAACCCTCACACTGACCAAAAACAATAGTTTTCCTACGGCACTGGCTCTAGTTAAAGGATACATTTTCGTTGTTTATTAAAATAAATATTTTGCATTTATCTTTTGCGCTTATTTCATTTTAGAAAAATCCCTGCATAAACATGTTTAATAACTTAATAAAATAACTCTGAGTAATGTCAGAAAAATAAATATTTGAAAATGTTGTATTTATTTTTGTTTATTGTTTTTTAAATTTAAAGTCAAGCCAGTATGATTTTATTTATTTAAAATGTAGAAGTCTGAAGTTAAACCATGTCAATATATTTAAATTTTTACAAGGTTATTATAATAGGACCTTGGCTGAGTTTAAAAAACATGCAATGACAAATATAATAAATAAAAGAAAGTGCATAGAAGAAAAATAACATAAAAATATGTTGCAAGGTAAATTATCGTTTCATTTTGAATTCATTTGTAATTCATTTTGTTTTATGTCCCTTCTAACAATAAGACGAAAGAAGTTTCCTTTACTCAACATAACAATCATAACAACATAGAAAAGTTGGGTTTAGAATTATAAATTCATATCATGTTTGGATGAGTAGAAAGACTGTTTTCACTTCACTTTTACACTTTTTTCCAACCTATAATTTAAAAATATAATTGAAAAAATAAATTCAAATGCATGCTACTTTTGAACTAGCTGAGAACGCTAACAACACACTGAAAAATTCAATCAGACATGCAGCTCCACACTGCTGCTGTCATTGGTTTATGCAGCTGATGGAGGTGAACCCCCCGTCCCTCCTCCATGACTCCAATAACTATCCTAAGCTGTACGCTGAAATTGTTCAAGCACGTCCAAATTCAAATCAGTCCCTCATTCCTGCGCCTTGTGTGCATTACGGTGAAACTTTAGATGTAATTTGTTGTGTGTGTTGTACTTTTTGCGTTTGCATTAAGGTCTGCTGCACCCAGTAATACCGTAGTACTGTGTTTTGGTACTGTAGCGTCACTGAGCATATGTTGCTCTCAGTGGCTCCCAGAGTCTCATGGAAAGATTTATGCCACATTCAGACATCTCTGCTTTGCATTACATATATATTTTATTAATATTTGGCCATTATGAGATTGCGTGACAGAAGGATCTCTGTAGGCAATATTGGAGGAGTATTTGTATCATTTCTTCGGCATCGTTCACTTCTCCTCTGGTTTGAGTCAATACTGAGTTTGTATGGAACTCATTATGGGCCGCTTCTCTCAGTGCCTCGCTGTTTTCTTCCATATGTTTTGGAGTCACCTGAACATGATCTGAAGTCAGCCAGTCGAGTGACCTCGGATAAATAAAAGTCCAACTCAGTGGAGGCAAATAAATCAGCCTGGCTTATTTAACCCAACAGAGTCCTGCTGCTGAGCCTGAGCAGTGGAGATTTTAATGAGAAAGACATGTTCGGTGACAAATAAATTATTCTACGCTCAATTTTCCTCCAGCGTCTCAATCAGCTCAGGCAACCCCGGCCATGCTTCAACACACGGCTGGCAAATTTGAAATTTTTATTGTTCTTTACCATTCATCTGTTACTTCGCTCATTTCTGCAGTCTAAAAATAATGCCATCTATCTTTGTATTTATTATCAACTACTGAAGTAAAAAGTATTAAAATTTTACAACCAGTTTTTGCTGAAGGATAACACTAGCTCTTAAATGAATAAAAAAAAAAAAACTGCTGACCTGCAGAGGGGAAGACTAATGTCATTACAGCAGCAAAACAGCCGTAAAAGTCGACTGTGTTATGATTTTAAAACCCCATATTTTATGGAGAGTCCTTTTTTATTGTTTGTTGGGAAATGATTGCCAATGTTACAGCCCATCTCCATTGTGCCAAGTTAAATCAGTATAGTGCTAACACTGCTCTCTTTTAGCAATTCTGAAAGATTAATCGTGACGTGTTCTGAGGTTCTGCAGCAGTAAGAGCCAGCACCACGTCAACTGGTTATAGTTTTATGATGATTCATACTCAGAGAGAAAAGTTGAAGTTTGAGGAGGAAGTCAGATTTTAATACGGATGTTTGTCTCGATTTGTCTTTAACTTTTGTCTTAGCTCTATTGGACAATCAGTCAGCCATTTGTTATTTGTAAAAATTCTACCCTTCTTCTTGATGTAATTATACACATTTTTACTGTGATACTGCTTGACATACATCAGACTCAACACGTGGTTGTTTCAACATATAAAAACATATAGTTTAACTTTTTGGAAGTAATTTCATGGTTTTTGAGGCCATTTGAATGTGCTTCTAGGGCACTTTAAATGTATATTTTAACTATTTTTGGGTAAAAATGTTCAGGGGACTACTGTTATTGAACCAACCCTCACACTGAGTTGCTTTACTTCAGTTAAAGTTTATTTTCAATTAAGGAAATGTATTTATCAGGCATTGACTAGGTAATTATTTTTAAAGAAAAAAGCAGTGAATTTGTTCTTCCTGCAAAAAAATGCCCTAGTGGTAACAGGAGGAGTTGCTTGTCCACTTTCAAATACTGAAATGGTAAGACTTGAATTGAAGTCACATAGTTTTTTATTTTCAAAACATTAAATTTACAGTACCTTTTCAGTGTTCAGAGGTGACAAATAATACATAAAAATGTTAACAGTATACTAAGTATACATTTATTTTTATCTTATTTATTGCTGTATTGGCACTTAAGCAGAGCCACAAGGCCAGTTCCCCATGGTTTAGTTCTATAAACAGACTGTAATATCCAGAAAGCTGGCAAACCGAGGCTGCTGCTTCATGCTTTTCTCTTTATGGGCTCAGTCCGCGGTTCAAGCTTGAAAGAACCAATTTGTGGGTACACTTGTAAATAAATAAATAAATAAATAAAATAAAATTGGTAAAAATAAAAATAAAAATGGGAAAGTAAACAATGTGAAACTTCTGACTGAATCAGAAAATAAAACAATGTTTTGACAAATACATCTGTATATTTACGCCCCTATATACTGTCACTCCACAATAATAGCATGAAAAATATATTGGTAAAATTATATATATATAAATAATAATAATAAAATATATACGTGGGTATATATTTATAAATATACATATTTGCATTACATTTTTCTTTTTGATACCATTACCAATATATAATAAGAATTAAATAATTATATGTTATATGGATTTATTGTAAAGTAGGAGTAACTGGGAATGTATTATAGTTGTGCACACCCCTTTACTGCATGTGTATTCCCCCAAGAAAAACTTTTACCTTAGTTTGAACTAATTACCAAAGGTTAATATTAGATAATGAAATTATTGTATTATATTACATAATTTTGTTGTTTTACCAAAAACGCATGAAGGTGTCGCTGTGAAATCCGTAAAAAATAAACAATTACTGTGAAAATAAACCACAATTCACCTTTGGAAAGAAAAAACTTACTTTGGCTTTTCTCCACTGTTTGTCACCTGTTAACGCTCCCACAACCCGACAGACAAACAAACGAAGTCTCTAAAAAGTATTGCAACAGGAAAAAAAAGATTTATTTCCATTTGAGACGAGACTATGTGGCTCCATTTTCTATAAATGTCCTTCATGGTCCCAAAACACTTAATTATCGATAGGTAAGGCAGAGCGAAGTGTACGCCTCTCAGTGATTGACAGCCGGCCAGACTCAATTGACATTGAAGGGTACGCAAATGCTACAAATACGCTTTGGAGATAACGAATCAAAATTATTGGAATACCAAGTTTTTAATCCCACTAAATATCCTCAAACGTGTGTTAAACGAGACCGGGTAAAATGATATGTCTGCGTAGTTCAAAGATGAGCTCCTGTGCTGTATTTATCTCCCCTCCGTCTGTAGTCGGTTGGTTTCGCCCAAACTTGGTTCAGATTTGAGTTGCTGTTCTCTGTTATCTGGGATCGCTCCACTGGAGGAGAAGGACCGTCTGTCCCCTCGCTGCTTTTGCTGTCAATGGCTTTCTGGACCTATTTTATTTGAATGTCTGGGCCCTTGACGTGACCAATAATGGATATCCTCTGGATATTATGGACCATACCGTCCGTCATAGCAGTTGAAGGTAGGTTAAAGTCTTCACCCCGGCGATTAAAGCCGCATCTTCTCTCCTTTTTACCGGCTTGTAGTTTCAAACAAAGCCCATCGCTGGTGTTTATCAATTTTAATTACACTGCTCAATTCTAAATAAATCACTTTTGTAAATTTTAGTCGGTTCCGGTTTTTGTCATAGTTGGTTTAAAAAGTGAGATGATATTTGCAGTAATGATGACGGTAATAAAGGGACACAACGTGCTCCCGCATTCCCGCAGGTAAACGAGGCTTGCGTTAGTTGTTGATTAATTTGCGGTTGTTTTGAGCCACACGGTTCCATACAGCAGGTGAGCATTTAACGTTTAAAGTCCCAGTCAGGTGGATGTTCTCCTGCTACCGTGACCTGTCTTGGCACAGTTGTAAAGCAATAAAAATGTTGAAAAAATAACCCCCCAATTAAGTAGGTAAATGTAAACACATGTCACAAATAACGTAAATAAACATGCTATTGTTTTCTTAATGTGAAAAAAAAAATCATCAATGAAGCAGGTTGAATAGTGACAACAGTCTCTTTCGTGTTTGTTTGCATTAAAGTCTGACAGAAAAAAACAAAATTGTTTCATGTTATTGCACATTATCAAATATAAAAGCAATTTTTAACCCTTCAATCTAAATATTAATGATTTAAATAGTATGATTACAGTTATTATTATAAACGTTTTATATATGCACAGCCTAATTTTTACATGTGTACATTAGACATTGTGAGTGTGTATTCGTATCCACATTTCTCTTTGGGATTCTGACTCCTTACCCCATGTCAGCGACAGCAGACCCAAAACTGGTAGAAAGTGTCAACCCACTCGTCCTCGCCATGTGTTCAGGTTATTTTGAGGATGCTGACAGAAAACAAAGTGTCTTCTTCCTCTGGTCACTCGAAACTAACCTCATAATTACAGACAATGCTGACAAACTACGGAGAAACTGAAACCCGAGGCAACCACAGGGTGATACAAAAGCAACAACAAAAAGAGACAGAGGGATAAATATTCATTTTCTTCTTAAAACTTTTTATTCTGTCAGTGTGTTAATACATTTTTAAGAACCTGTCAAGTCCCATGTGGAACTGGCACAGAGTATGACAAATTTGTGTTTATGCAGTGCTACTACTGTTGACTGCTGGTGTTTATACTTTAAAGTGTAGATGCATATACATTATGCAGTATTAAGAGCTGACTCTTCCTTAATTATCAGGGGAAATTTGAAATGCTTGTAGATGTAGTAGCAATTTCTAGTACTCTGTTAGTTCCCACTATTCATGTAATTTAGCTTGTATGTAAGTAGTTATTTTAAGGAACTTTTTTATGGCAAACAATTCTCATCTGTATACAATCCATGTAAATAAAAGCAAAGATGAATCAATGAAACTACCATATATTTTCAGGAAAATATATTTCACATTGCCTTTACACTTAATATACACTTGGCTTATTATTTGTATTAAAATAGTGATTAATTAGTTTGTTTAAATAAATTAAACCACTACTTCTCCCTATGTTCATGTATGACCACGGCCATGGCTGCCAGTTAATGAAAGCTTATCGTGCCTCAGTTGCTACTCTACATGGCCTTTGATATTATTATTTCATTAGACTAAAATCCATTTATTGCCTGAGTAAAATGCATTTTTGAGGCCTTTGTTGCTTCACTGGTTTGTATACGCAGCCAGTCCCGTGGCCAGAGCGGTGAAGTGCAGCCCTCCCTTCGTTTTACTTAGTGAATCACTCAGGCTGACCGTCCAATGGGGTTTGTACGCTGACTTGCGTATGAAAATATAATGGGTTGGAAAAGAGGTCATGGCAGATATAATCCAGAAAAAGAAGACAAAAAAAAAAAAAACACACAAGAATGCAACAAAAGAAATAGTCTTCAAGTTATGGTTTTGTGCTGCAACATTGTGTTTTCCTTCTATTTTGTGTAATAGAGAGACAGTTTCACATGTCGATTTATCATATTTCATAAAGATGTAACTGAAAAAAAGTAACATTTTTATGAGTCTTCAGTTAAATAACTTTTTTGAGAGTAAGAAATATGATTTTCAGTTTGGTTGAGTTTTAGTGAAATATAATTTTTGTTTTCATTGAACATTGAACACATCAAATAATAATGGAAAAAAAAGGCCTTAATTGAGCAATGCATATATGCCAAAGTGATAAATTTACAAAAATGCATCGACAATACGTTTGTCAGTATTTTGAATGTAATAATATCAGCCCGTGTTTGTTTCTCCGACGTCTTTTTGGATAACATGTTCACTCCGGCACATTCACTGTTGCCCTGTTGGACAAGTATAAATGGCATTTATTCATTGGTGACATTTTAGTGTTTTTCACTGACATTTAATTTCCCGTGTGGAATATTAACTCACTCTAAATTGTTGCTTAGTGTTAATGTAAGCTGCAATTGATGCCACGTCTTGTTGGTGTGGTTAACAGGAATAGACAGGCTCTTTCTGGAAGAATTAATGGAGGTAGAAGTGCCAAGAGAATTACCCTAGCTTTGTCAAACACTTCTATGACAACACACTGTGGATTTGCCCCATCATTAGTTCAACAATTGATCATCATCTATGTTTTTCTTGACAACTAAATACTAACAGCACTCACTATTTTCCCTGTGCAGGACATTTTGCATTAATCCTCAGTTATAAAATTGTATTCTTAAATATTACTGGGAAGGTAAAATGTACAAGACAAATCATTTAATCTTTTTTTTTTAATGTCAACCCTTCAGAGAGATTTTCTTGTTGGACTGCTGTTGCTATGATGCAATACTAGACTTGTCTGCAAGTTAGTTTTGTAGTTAGGAGGATAATACATCACTTTGATTTAACATTTTTCTCCCTTCCTTTGAAAGAGGCATAATGGGACAGAAACCACAGTAGAGGACGGAGAAGTGGATTAGAATGTGATCACAGCGTGGACTCTTTAAAAATGTCTCGTCGATTTGATTGCATTTCAATATGCGCTGCATTCCTCCAGTGCTCTGTGGAGAACTGGAGCCCACTCATTTGAAAGTTGGCACTGGGCACTTTGTTGTTTCAAAATATCTGATGTAATTGTATTAACTGAAATCTGCATAAATCAACAAACCTACATCAACATGTTCTTGCATCAAATGTGTAAACTGCAAGTTTTTTTTGTAATAATTTGAAAAACCCTGCTTGGTTTAGTAAGTTTGCACATGCAAGTTTGATCATTTTGGATTTTTGTTGTGCACATGTGAGTGTAACATGGAAGCTTAATGTTTTGTGGAGGAGTAATTCAAGACAGACGTAGGCGGTTTGAGAAATGGGATTAGATAAAGGTAAAACGAGCGGCCGTATACAATCCAGTGTTTTCTAAGTCCACCCAATGAGCAGATGCAGGGAGTTGGCCTGCACGCCAACCCGCCACAGTAGGCTTTCACAAAGAATCTGTCTCTATTCAAGCCCTAATCCATGCTGCCGAGGGCCGGACCATTGTCACTTTGCATGCAAAATTTAAATTAGTCCTGGTACCAGTTGTTTCACTTGAAGGGCAGTGTCACATTTCAGAGACATCCATCTATATGCACCTTTTGGGTGAGTTTAAGGTGCTTTTCTAAGAAATCTTAGTGGCCTTTTGTCAGGCGTAAGGTTACCAACACTGGCACGGAATACCTTTTTATTATGTTCTGTAGAAGCAGATTTATATTAAATTTATTTCTGCATAAACAAAGTTTACTATGTAAGAGCTGAACATGGAAATGTTTTTCCTTCAAAGAGAGTCTTATAAGTTGTACGTCTCAGTCCCAGCTGGCTCTGATAGCAGAATAGTTGACTGCAGTTGGTTTGACCAATTTGGCTCCAGATTTGGTTCAGAACATGATGTGTTTGACACTGTTTCCGTGCTCTGGGCTCCTTAAATATGACTGCTGTGGTTCACTGCCATGAGCCAGCTTTTCGTACTCTTCTGCCTTTGACTGCTCCAGTCCAAACATATTTGCCCTGTGGACTTAGAGCTTTAAACTTGAGGAACACAGTCCAAGAAAATATCATAAGACAAACTGAATACAAAATTCAGTGATGGACCAAGAATGAATGACTTGAGTTTTCATAGTATTGTGGTTTTAAGACGTTACATTAATGGATTTGAAATGGCATTTTTATAGGTTAAAGCTGGAAACGTAATAAATGGGTCAAATTTCAAGTGTGCAATACAAAAGTGATCATAGTGGAGGCTTAGTGCTGCTCTTTACATGCCTGGCTAAAATGCTAGTCCTTTGGGGAAACTCATTAGCAGAACTGTAAATGTGTGGGTTGCATTTGGAGCTCATTCAATACTGGAAGTTATACTGATTGCCTTTTATTGAGTAAATAAATTAGAATATTGATACTTTTACACTCTACAGGTCTGAATTGGATCGGTGAAAGATTTGGTGCTGTTTAATTGTTGCTGTTTATCTTCACATGACCACAAATCCTACAGTCTAGTACACACAGCAGGAGATTATGTTAACAGAAACAAAAGGCAGCATTTTTAAAGATATTGCTTTTGCTGTAACCTTTAATCCAAACATCAAGTATCTTTTGGTTTGGAAGGTTTCAATTCATGGTGTGACAGGGTTTAAATATAAATAAACACTAAAATCAACAGGCACTGTTTAAAATGGATGAGTAGAGGGCGCTAAAAGCACATCTTAACCATGGATCCATTAAAATCGCTGTTTTGGCATATCAGAAAAGGTGATCAGTGAAGTTATGTTGTTTGGGTCTTCACCCAACCTAAGTGCAATCCTGAATTAAAGCACCACTGATGGATTTCTAAACACATCTGTGTCTCCATCCTTTACTCTTTACCTCCGTACAAAAGCCTAGCAGAGAGCATGACAGATGGTGAGAGCAACAAGTGTTCAACCTGAGGTGACTGCCTGTCCATTTCAGCTCACTGTACTTAAGCAGGCACTTTGCCAGAACCTGGAAAATGACAATTCTCAGTATAATTTTCAATT